GGGGGGGGGGAGGACGGAGCTGGGACCCCCCCATCCATCCCCAGCTCCAGGCAGGGCCACTGCCAGCCTGCACTACTCTGGCAGAAGAAATGGGAGCTTCCCTGCCAACCCTGTGGACTGGGGTTTCCGCTGGGCCCATAAAAGCCTGCGTGCTAGGGATTGCGTGGTTACTCGTTTTTTCCCCACCCAGAGATGCCACCTATCTCCTAGAATGCTGTCTTTTTACATCTAAGGTCTGGGTGTGCACCTCACCCCCCCCCAAAAAAAAGCAGTTTAAACATCCCAATAGAGCCTAAGAAAGAGGATCCCTTCTGGGGCAGGGGGTTGGGGGGAGAGGGCAGAGGCGTGCTAACCTAGAAGCTTTACAGCTTTATCCACCTGGCTATCTGGGGACCATTTTCCACCTCTGCTTTTGAAGCCATCTAAGACCCTATAAAGTTGCTGTTTCGCCCTCAGGGCCCCTCTGGGCATCCTCACCATAGGCCCGGTGGTAGTTACACTTAACCAGAAACCATTCCAGGAGGGAATAGATTCACATGGCTAGCAACAGTCATCTGTTGCTAGGTAATAAATTCATGCCAGGAAACAAGAACTTCGTATCAAGAGTTTTATGTTAATATCTACCTGGCCATCTATTTGTATACACTGTCATGTTAACACAGGATCAGAAACAGCACAGATGCATCCAGAACATTGTATTATTATCCTGGAGAGGGCCCTGATTGCATCAAGTGGTATCTGGCACTTTGGGTTCCAGATTTCTGTAAAATTCCAGTCTGGAACTACTGTTAAGCACACCAATTATAAAGGTAAAAAAAATATCCCAGCTTGTAAAACCTTTAGCTTGGTGGTGTGCCTAACGCCACTTCGTTTGAGTAATCTTCTCCTTACTTGGGAAAAGCTGAGCTTGCTCTCTTAGGGCTTATTTTGACGATTGCTTTGAGTTTTCCTCGCTTGTATTCAAGTAGGGCACAGCTTTGCATGCAGTATTCAGAATGCAAGAAACTTGACTTCTGGATCTGCCATTTCCCACTTGACCTTGGATTCATTACTACCTTGCTCTGATTTGCTCCTCTACAAAGAAGAGGGCCTACCCACCTCCCCTCCCCCTTTTGAAATCATAGGCAAAGGCTGGCTTTTTCTGGAAAGCCCAAGTAATAAGTATTTGGGGATTACAGGCCATAGCATCTCTGCTAAGAGATTCCAATGTACAAAAGCCATAGTAGGTGCTCCAGAAATGAAAAAAATGTGACTAGATTTGGCTTATGATCTCTTAAGTTTTGATTTTAACACAATCTATGCCAAAAGCCACAGCACTCATGGAGATAAGTGGCCATTGTTTCAGGAGCACATTTTTTTTTAATACAGACATGTAAACTACCCATTTTCCTCTCCATTCCCAGGATCTTTAAAGTAATGCAACAGAAGGCTTTTGAGGAAAGCAGATATCCCTGGCAGGAGTCCTTTGAGAATGTTGCTGTGTGCCTGCCATTCCGCTGCCCGAGGTGTGGAGACCATACCAGATTTAGAAGCTTGTCATCTCTGAGGGCCCATCTGGAATTCAGTCACAGCTACGAAGAAAGAACCCTCTTGACAAAATGCAGCATCTTTCCATCTCTCACTCCTTCAGAACTCCTGAGACAGGGTAAAGTACAAAGTCGAGGCAATGGGGCGAAGCCAAGGCCAACCTATGTTAACTTGTATAGCATCTCACATGAACACTCCAAGGACAGGAAGCCATTTGAGGTGGTGGCAGAAAGGCCGGTGTCCTATGTGCAGACCTACACTGCGATGGACATCCGGGCGGACTCGCTGCATGGGCCCCGGTCAAGTCCTGGACTTCCTACTCCAGATACCAAAGCTGCTTTTGAGGCACATGTCAGAGAAAAATTCAACCAGATGGTAGAAGCTGTGGATAGGACCATTGAGAAAAGAATTGATAAGCTCACCAAAGAGTTGGCCCAGAAAACTGCTGAATTGTTGGAAGTTCGGGCAGCTTTTGTGCAACTGACTCAGAAGAAACAGGAAGTGCAGAGGCGAGAGCGGGCCCTGAATAGACAGGTGGACGTGGCTGTGGAAATGATTGCTGCGCTGAAGCAGCGCCTGACAGAATCCGAAGAGGAGCTGCTTAGGAAAGAAGAGTAAGTGCTGCTGAAACTGGATGTGAACCCCGTTGCTTTAGGGCCCCCAAGTTATAAGCAAATGTTAAACAAGGTTTGGTGTGTGTCATTTGAAAGTATCTTTGGTGTATTCTTCATTGATGTCCTTGAGCAAGCAGGTGTGAGGCTCTGATATTATTTGCACTCTCTGTGCAATGGCTGTGGAGGATTTATTAATGCCAAAGTATCTGTCACCTTGGAGACTGTAAACCACAGGTAATATTTTTACAGAGAGGAGTAACACAGATTACCCGTGGTGGGATCCATTCCTAGCACAAATTGTGTGTAAGCTTGAGTTGAATGGGAAGACAGAAGGTGTACAAGGAGAACCCTTCTTCCTAATTGTCTCTATTTTATGGTCAAGAATATGGGCTACTGTCTTACTCAAGTAAAATAGTGTGTTTCAAGTACAAATAACTTTGGCTTGCCATTTTGGGTTATCTGCCCTTGTTAATGAACCACCAATAGTTGAAGAAAGATCTATTGAATTATAATTTATATTTGGGAGTAGGAGACATTAAGAGAGATTTTTCTGATATAGAAATCTAAGTTGTTGATTTTTTGTGTGTACTGGGGCTTGAACTCACGGTCTTATGCTCTTGCATGGCTTTCTTTTTCACGGGTGCTGCTCCGGTTCTAGCTTTCTCTTTATAATTGGAGATAAGAGTCTCATGGATTTTTCTGCCCGCACTAGCTTTGAACCATGATGCTCAGGTCTCAGCTTCTTGAGTAGTTAGAATTACAAGTGTCAGCCACTGGTGCCCAGCTTAGATTTCTAAGTTAGAGAATTTTACAGTTATAAAATGATGCATGACACTAAAATAAGTCTTGACTGTTTGCACAGTTGGCACTCATTTCAAACAAGGTCATCATAGAAACTTTTATTTGAAAAAGCTTCATAATTGGAGAAGCACTTCCTTATCCATAAGTCTATATTTGACCTAAACTAGAAAAACATACATAAAAATTCAGCATATTTGCAAATTCAGAATGTCAGATTTTATATTAAATAAAGGCTCATAATTTATAGGTTGAAAGGACAAATTTGAGTACAATTATAGGGATTTATTTATTTTCATCTTTTCTTTGCCTTCTGATATTTTTTCTATCTTGTGTTGCACTTAAAATATAGAAATTAAAACTTCCTGAGAAACCCTGTGTATTTAAGGACTCTTTACTGGCTATCCTTAAACATTTATATTCTGCCTTGAAGGGAAACCAAGACACCTTTTGTTCAGACTAGTAGACATTTAAAAAATTACGTAGGAAGGATGAAGTTGAATCTGCAACTAATTTTTTTTATTCCTAGGGGGATGATCTCTAGTGAAAATGTGGTTTTCTTTTTGTTGTTGCTATTTGTTTTGTCTTCTGGTGACCTATGTGGCCCTTCTAGGAAAATGGCAGATGAGGTTGCTCTATGAGTAGGGACAAGACTAGGATTTACTGCGCTTGAAGTGATGAGTTCAAGAATGTCTTATTATTAAAATAATTGACTAAATAAAAGGGGCTTGTGAATAGGTCAATAATAATATTATATTATGTTTAATCCAAGCCATCAAATGAAAATTGCAAGCTTGCAAAACAAAACGTTAACAGAATATGTGTTAAAAAGCTGGGCACTGGTGGCTCATACCTGTACTCTTACCTACTCAGGAGGATAAGATCTGAGGATTGTAGTTCAAAGACAACCTGGGCAGGAAAGTCTGTGAGATTATTATCTCTAAATAACTAGCAGAAAACTGGAAGTAGCACTGTGGCTCAAAGTGCTAGCCTTGAGCACAAAGAGCTCAGGGACTGTGCCCAGGGCATGAGTTCAAGCCCTATGACTGACCCACTCCCCCGCAAAAAGAAAAGAAAATATCCTTTCTTCTCCAAGCATATTTCTCCCCAGTCTCAGAGACAACACTTAAATTTAGTGAACACCCTTTTAGACTTTTCCTGTGTGCTTGCAGCCATATGTAATTTATATATACAGTTCCTTTTTTCTCTCCAAAGTAATTATGACATATACTAGTTTGCTACTTGTCCTTGGAGTACTTTTGTTTTAGCATTACTATGTCTCAGGTATTGGTTGTGTACTAAAGACAGAATTATGCCATTCCTGTTGACTGATACATGATATTCCACGGTATGGCTGCATCAAGATCAGTTTAACCAGGTATTGTATTGACCAATACACAGTTTTGCTCTATTTTCCTAATACTAAACACAGAATCTAAAGTTAATATCCATGTGCATCTTTGTCCTCAATTTTTTTCCAGGTTAATATTTATTTGGTTATTTAATTCATGGTGCAGGGCCTCACACATGCTAAATATGCACATTACCAATGAGCTACACCACCAGCATGAGTTGGTTTTTAATATGTGATTTTTAAGCTAACAGAAGAGAGCAGTGGTATTTGAATTTTGAGAACTAGAATAAAAATACAGCAACATTGTCTTGATCTTTTAACTATAAACAAAGTCTTTTTCTTTAAGCTTTCATTTGGGCCCAGCTTGTCAGTCTCTGTATTCAAACCTCAAATAATCACTCCTTCTGTGTATGAAATAGAACTGAGAGGGTCTTGTCCCCAGGAAGGACACTGGGGCTCTTAGTCTGAGACAGTGACTGTGCACAGGGCCCTCAGTGTCTTCAGAGACTGGCTTTGCCCCTCTTCCTGCCATCTGAATGGGGGTGCAGAGCCAGCTGCCCATTTGCCACACCACTGGTACCAGGTTGATTGACTGGATTTGCCGGGCTGAGCCCCTTCATGCCTCAATGTTCCCTCAGAGGGTGGCATCTCATTAGTCTTTCAGATAAGGAAAGCCCATTTGGCCAAGAACATTCCAGCAGCTGCGCTGCCTACCAAATGCCTTTATATGAAACTTAGGGGTAGATTGTTATTTGTCCTATTTGAAATATACCCTTTGAGGCACAGATGGCAAATTTGGTTCAAAAAATGAAAACAGGCGAGTTTTAACTCTTATTTCCTGCATAGCAAGTAGCACATGATTCTCTCATTTCTCCTTATTTCAACCCATCATACTAAAATAAATCCTTGCTAACTTAAAAATAAATTCATGTAGTATTGAGCATTAACAATAAGGCTTTCATGCTTATACATTTTCTCCTGAACTTTAAAAATTCTTTAGACTGCATAAAAGATTCCAGGGCAGTATCTGCCCTAAGATCATCTTTAGATTCAATCAACTTGGTTTATGGAGGATATGAGTGTGTGTGTGAGTACACACATGCATGCCTGCATACATGCATGTATGTTTATGTGTGAGATAACAGGATGCTGTTCGATTGTCTGCAGTGACAATATTTTGTACTTGTATACTAGTGAGTCTTATTTCACCTCCAGAGAGGAGTCTACATGTTTCTGGCGTGAAAGTACTAGAAAGAAGTTGTCCTTTTTATTTACCAAGTCAGTGAAACTTTAAAAAGTCCTACTGAACCATGTCTTTACTTATTGATGAGCACCCAGAGCTGTTGATAGCAGTGTCTGTAATCAGGGAAATCAATCCTGGCACCCTGCAGTAAGGTATCTCTTCTCAAGTAAGATTGGATTTAGTTGGGAGCTGAGTTGGTCTGTTGGGGGTTAGAAATAATATGATAACAGCAATACCAAATTTTCTGGCACACAAGTAGGCCAGGAAGTTTTCAAACTGCTGGTGGTGCACCTGGGAAGTGCCAGCATTATGCAGATATGTCTAGAGAACTTGAAATCTGTAGTATTTTACCCTAAGTGCTTGTGCTCTCTGTAGGAAAAATGAAGCATACTCAATAGCAGAACCATATTCAAACCCAGGGTAGGTTTTCACTGATGTTTTTGTTTCTTTCTGAGACAGGGTCTTGCTACTAAGTGCAGGCTGGGCTCAAACTTACTAAGTAGCTCAGACTGCTCTCAAATTCAAGAGCTTCCTGCTCATTCTCTCCCATCCCCCAGTGCTGGGATTACAGGTATGTGCTACCATACCAAACTGCAAGGGAGCTTTAGAAAGTACTTAAATGTAAACCATAGTTTCAAATGGATGAATCATTCGAGAACAGACCTTTCTACCTAGAGAGACATTTCTACCCAGAAGAAATGAGAAGGAAGGGTGGAATATGCAAAGGTGGCTAGCTGACAGTGGCATTGACAGGGTAGCTGGGTGGGCTGTCAAAGATAGCTCCTGGAGGGGCTATGTGTAATTTTTAAATTTTAGAACGGAAAGGTACCTCTTGTCTCTTTCAGAGTGTCGCACTCATTTCACAGAGAGAGGATTTCACAGAAAATAAGGACTAGAGCTGTGGACTGACTTGCCCAAGAACAAAGATTTAGAAGCACACTGAAACGGAAGGCAGTTTCCCTGCCGTGTGCTTTTCCATTAGCTCACTGTGTCCTTACCATACTTCTGAAAATGTGATATTTGCCTAAAGCATCAGAGCTTATGTAATTCTGAGCATGGCCCATTTTGGATATTGCTATTTTGAGAGGGCTGCCACAATGACATCATTTATTTTTCTGATGTGATTAAAGAAAATGTCAGCTGTCATCAAAGGTGTTGGAAGCAGGAAAACAGTGGCATCATAAGTATCACCGTGATACTAAGCTTCCAGAACACCCAGCCCAGGTCTTTTAACCTCCAAACAAGGGCTTTTAACTTGGCTCTCCGGATGTCCTTGCTCAGTCAGGATGGGGCATGTGTCAGTGCCAAGCTTTGATGGCAGTGAGGGACTTCTTTGTGATTCCAACCTACTGCTTTGTGAGGTACGGTACACAGAATCCAGTTCTCTTTTCCCTTCCTCCTTTGCTCTATTCCCATCCTGGAGCCCTGTGGGAGGAGTATTTACTGAGAGCCTGCTGTGCCAGGTGCTGCTCTGTTCTGGTTTATGCAGTGTGGAAAACCACATGAAGTGCCCACCTTCAAGGAGCTTATAGACTGGAAGGAAGATGGCATCAAGCAAACCATTAGAGCTCAGTGACACAGATAGAGAGGCAGCAGGAGCTGGCA